AGGGCGCCACACCAGTCACGTGACTCGCTGACGCAACAATATTGAGGGTTCCTTTGAGATCATACGGCAAGACATCAGAACAAAGCATGTCGTTAGATGACCACTCGTTCATGAGTAGAGAAGAACACTAACGCACCTTTTTAAACCTATGTTTTCTATATCTTCTTTAATTACAGATTTGCAACCTAACAATACAGCATCTAAATCCTTTCTTCAACAAGATACTAGACCGTTTTAATTAACATGATAATTTTTGTTCTGCGTTAGCCTCGATAATATCTGCATCTCAATTGACTTACATTTTAGATTAAACACAAATATCGTTATTGTATTAAAAGCGCGGCAGTACTGTCTGACATGACGTTTCTGTTTACTAAAACAAAGATATTTTGGTGATTCACTATGATAAAGAATATGAAAACCCGCTTTTAAGGCATAGTTTAATTCTGACGTGATGGGATATAAGAACTCCTGTAATCGTTATCTTTGCTTTTTACATTCCTTACGTATTGGTATTGGTTGGGATCTATAATCCTAGATGTAAGTTTTTACATTCAATTACGTCATTAGGATATAGAGATTGTATAAATATCAGTTTATTTTCTCACATTACTTACTGAGTAGTGACTTCGAGTTTTCATCTCTACCTCTACTTGTTTTTATTAAGAGTTTTCTTAACAATGTTGTTAACCACCTATAGAAATTAGGTTGTCTTTATCATTTAAAATTTAAATCATTTAAAATATGATTCGTAACTCTATTCAATAGTTGCTATTTATAACAGGAAATCATTTTAAAACACATACAAAGTCAAATTGTAGAGAAAAGAAAATTTAACAAAAATATTGAGTATCAAACCATAATTAATTTCAAGATAAAATGTGCGTAAGAGTAAAATATATATAGATATATTTTAACACACACAAGTAGACATCAAAGTATTAATTATTCCTGATATCAACAATGGTAAGTGGAATTCCTTGGAACCGACGTAACTCAATGAGAAGTGATAAATCGAATGATGGAATGGCTTTCACATTTATATCATTTATATCGAGTATTAGTATTGTTGCGACATCGAGGTCACGTGACTAGTATCACGCGACGTCATTCTCGAACTTTCACGTCTTTTCCTTAAATCTCGTGATCTTTCTAGATATAATGTAGTCTTGTATATATAAGACCGGCCACGAAGCGACGGGGAGGTAATGAGTAATTGAATGTATGCGGACAAAATATTGTTGGCCACGTGAGACGTGAGTTATAGAGTTGTTATAGAGCGACTGTTGAAATTAAGTGTACCGTAAAGTTGTATTCGGAAAGAATAAACCAGTTTTATTTAAAAAAGGACTTGTGTCGCTAAAGTTTCGTCGGAACGAAGTTACGGAAAATTAACTAACGAACGGAGTAACAGTATCTTAGTAGTCTCATTAACCGAGTACACCTACTAGAAATTACATATTCATATTGTATTTTAGTCTCGACTTATTAAAACTTCAAGATGGACAGTTTATCTGAGAAATGTATGATTTTGACTTTTTCGTTGTTGAGGCAATAACAACTATAATTGATATGAATATAGTACAACCAAAATGTTTAAGATGGATGTGAATTTTTAATTCATGAAACACTATAATGAAAAACTATCATTTTATTTTTACTTGGAATCTAACTACTTGGACGCGCCATGATAAAAAAAAAACTCCTAATTTATTTTAATAATTTATTAAATGATATATTAACAAGTTATTATATTGAGGGTTCCTTTCAGATCACACGACAAAACGTGAGTACAAAGTAGGCCGTTAGATGGCAATACGTACAGAAGTATATATATATATATTTGTAATTAACCACAAAGCTACACAATGGGCTATCTGTGCTCAGCCCACCTCGGGTATCGAAACCCGGATTCTAGCGTTGTGAGTCCGTAGCCATACCGCTGTGTCACAGTGGGGCTACAGAAAGACACCTGTGCAATATATTTATATATCGACAGATAAAGAAGAAAATATTACTTATTTTGTAACATTAATAATAATGGGTGCCGTGAGAAGAGATAAATTGAATAACAGTTTGGCTTTCACATTTATGTCTTAGTATTTTATAAAGCTTGTCGTGCTAAATAACTCACAATAATAACTTATTATCATAAATTCTATACGTTCTTGAAGTTCCTATATAAATGTAGCATTATAATTTGTGTAAAAGAGGTTTCAAAACACCTTACGTATAACATATATTTTCACACTATATAATACCTAGTCTTTTTATTTTGTGCTCTTTTTGTCGTAAGTTATTAACAGTGCCGTAACTTGGTAATAACGTAACAGATTTTCAGTCTAGATTCTAGAACAATATTAGGAATGCTAACAGATGACGCTCGCTGTTATCAAGAAATGTTTGTGACTCATAATTTATCAGAACATGATATAACTAAACGTTGCATTATTTTACAAAAACGAATGATGAACTCATGGTTTGAACGCTCGTCTTTATCTGTTACTTGTATAATACCGTTTGTAGATATGTAAAGTTCGTTTCAATTTTCGAGTTAGAAAAACAAATTGTGGGTGACGTTACTCGTGTACAAGTTTTCCTCGGACTTCATTTGTCATTTGAACTTAAAACTGGAACATCCTACAACACTAACAGCGTAAGTTACAGTGTTACTTGTAAGGTGTATTTGTACGTTGTATGTACTATATGGTAAATTTGCCAGATATAGTTTTTGACATTTCATGTTGACGTTTATAAAAATTATTAAAGTATTACAATTAATACTATATTAGTAGCCACTAGCCAAGTAAGTAAATCATAGCTGCCAGGCCACACGTTAGACTTTTGGCATGATAAATATGAATAGAATATCAAAAATATATTTAATGCCATGTTTATAGGCTTTCTAAAAATAAAATGTATCGAATAGTATATGCATTTGTTTAAACATTTACTTTAGTATAGTACAATTTAAGACTAGCCCAATGGTTCATAGCCTCTTTTCAAATGAGGACCAGTTAGTTCCAATCCTAAAATTTTGTGGACCACTTTGTACGATATTATCCTTTTTTTAAAGTGCTTTTATTTTACATTGTAAAACAATATGCTTAAATAAATAGATTTGAAAACACTTTTCTCAACCATCTCATGGACCAGTAGTTGAGAAATCAAAGTGGATCAAGTATACAATTAAGATTTTACTTACTGAAAAACATTTCAACAAAAGCAATAGAATTCAAGCAAAAACAAGTGGCAGAAATCCATTTGACCCTTTGAGGGGCTTTTCACCACTAGAAGATTAACAATAAACTATTGCTACAAGAAAATGTCCATGTAATTAAACATTGTCATCTATTGAGACTGGCCAGGTGGTTAGGGAGCTTGACTTGCAATCTGTGGGTCACGGGTTCGAATCCCCGTCACATCAAACATACTTACCCTTTCAGCTGAGGGGGCATTGTAATATGATGGTCAATCCCACTATTTGTTGGTAAAAGAGTAGCCCAAGAGTGGGCAGTAGGTGGTGATGACTAACTGCCTTCCCCCTGGTCTTACACTTTTAAATTAGGGGCAGCTAGCGCAGATAACTCTCGTGTAGATTTGTTCGAATTCCATAACAAACAAACTATTGAGACACTATTTTAAACCCCTTAGCTTTTTAAAGTTTAGTAAACCATTGCAAAAAAACAGACAAATCTAATCTCCTAGTACTTGCTTATTACCTAGGATTTGATATATATTAGTTCAAACCCACGCAGACCAATCTAATGTCACAAGTTATATAAATACACACGTAAATATAAATAAAACATTGAATAAGTTATGGCTTGTTATGCTGATAGGCCATTTAAATCATAAATTCTATATATATGTATAATGTGAACAGAATACAGTTTTACAGCTTTTGTTTTTAATATTTTCCACCTAGCTATAATGATATTTTCGTGTGGACTTGAGTGCCAGAACTTCGTATGTATCTCTTGATGATGGATTCACGAGAAAAACATGCTTTGTGGAAGGAAAGAGAGGCCATATCGGAAGACTTGACACCAAAATATATATTACCAAGTCTCGTTGCTGATGGAATATTCTCTGAAGATGAAAGAAATGTTATTTTAAGTGAGGTAATGATGATATTTCATTAGCTTTTGAAGTCTCAAATGCAAGAAACTATAAAGTCATTCATATATCTGTTTTCATAATAATTATAGGCCTGATTTTCATTAACTTCATCCAAGACATGAAAAATCTACTTGTTAATTCACTCTAATCCTCCCTAAAAGAATTTCAATTACTGCAGCTATTGAGGATTCCCTCTTGTTCATTTCAAAGGTGAATCCTCTAGAGGTGAATATCTCGAATCAGAATAAATGTAACAAGTAAATTAGAAATTTTAATTTATACAGAATTTTTGTAAAACTGTTGAAGATAAAGCATTTAAATTTCAGCTAAGGAACTGAATGAACCTTAAAACATGAATATCTAATAACTATAATAACTAACAATAATTGAAAAGCCACGTTACAAAATACACCAAACCTTCTTTAATAAAAAAGTGTTCATACAATCAACAGAAAATTAATATGAAATGAGTCTAATAATGATTAATATGCTTTTTGCATTAAACAAATTTCTAGAATTAATTCTAAAACCTCTTATGTAACGATCCACACTTACTAAAAATAAATCACCATTTTACATTATCTTGGAACTTAGTAAACTCTCCCAAAATATCTTACTTCTTTTAGTTGTTTTCTTTCTTTCACAGTCACATTTTATCTGTTTTCTTTATTTTAAGCTTTATTTATTCCAATTTAAACTTGTCATGGAAAATTTATCAGCGTAAAATTTCTAAACGTAAAAACTGTTGTTCTATTTGTATAAGGGTGTAATTTCAAAGGAAAGTTACTAAAAATAGTACACAAGGAGCTTCCTGAAACCTAAAGCTGACTGATTGAAAACATGAAACTTTGTGCACTGAACATATGGCCAGTCACATGTAAAAAAAAACAACCTGTGAATTTATGGGTCAATATTTCTTGCTATAGTCATAAGAAATTTCTTAAGCTAACACAATCTGTCCCATTAACTTGTGAGCTTCAGAATTACCTTATATTAGAAAACAAAAAATATATTTTACTTAATTTTTATTTATATTTTTAACTTTTTATGAGACCTATTTTTCCTTTTTATTAGTTATATTTTTGTGCGCCAGCAACACCAAGCGTGGAGCACACGTATACCCAATTTGATTTTTATTACTCATCAGGATCTCTACCAACTTACCCTCAAATTGAAATTCTTTTGGGCAGGATTAGAGGACCTTGGGTGTGGTTAAAAACATCAATCGAAATGGTTTGACCTCCTGAGTCCAAAGCTGTAATTAAATCTCAAATAAATCAAGAGATAGAAATATATAAGTATTTTGTTAAAAACACTAATATCCCAGCTCTAACAGACAGTATACATTTTATAGTTTTTACTTTTGTATCTGACTTGGTAATGTTCATTGTTTAAGTACTACATCATATTTTTAACACAGTTTGAAGACACTTTATCCGTATTGTATTGATTATACACTTAATGATTCTAGAGTTAAAAATTTAAATCATTCACTCTTTTTTCATAAAAAATTAATTATGTATTTCAATGCATACATAGTGCTGTTTCACAAGAAAAGCATCTTTTAATTCAGCTGTGCCCAAGAAAAACCTAAACCTTTCAGCATATTTTTCACGCGATCGACATTAAACATTTCACACTGTTTCTCTTAGACTACATGCGTAATGTTATTTGCTAATTGATTAACTGATGGCCCCATTAATTAATTACATTGCATTAATCAATTAGTAGTGTTCTTCGAGCCATGGTAAGTAAAAGCAAAAAAAAAACAAAAAAAAACAGCAGTGCTGTCAGTCATGTGCCTTCCCAAAGACAAGGTGAGCAAGTTTGGTGCCCCCCTCCCCAATTCTTCAAAACTGGAAATGAAAAAAAACTTATAAGGCTAAAACTTAGTAGAGCACAGATGGCCCATTATGTATCCTTGGGCTTAAGAATGAACAAAATAGCAATATTTTTATTACTTGGTTAGTTGTAGTAATTGAAAAAAAGTAGTAATTAGAAACTCTAACTTGGATTAGTGGATAATTTTTGTGACAATTTAATCGTAAATTTGATTAATTCATTAAATCAAGCTTAATAATGAAAGGCATACACACTATTACATTTATGTAAAAGTTGTATGATATAAAGTAAATAAGAATTAAATACAAATAGTACAGCTACGTGATTCAATTGGTTGCCTACAAGAAGCAATTACCTCAATTATTGTCACATAAACTATTTGATTAATTCCACAAAAAAAGCTAATTTATTATATAACCTATATAATTATATAAAAACACTGTTGGAAAAAAAAAACTTATTTTTGGTAACTTATGCCTTTAAATAAAATGTATTAAACTTGTTTATGGTGATTAGCATAAAAACTATGTAAGTTATCATTTATCTTACTTTTTATTTAGTTTCTTCCATTGTTTGAAATTGTAACCAACAATAAAATACCCTGTTCATAGAAGTAGCTTATATATACATATATTTTTTTACAAACTTATCACGTTTCCTTATTTTTTAGGTCAAGCGTGAAACACAAACAGCCAAACTTTTGTCTCTTCTTCTAAAGAAGGGCAAAAAAGCTTTCAGTAGTTTTGTTAAAGCTTTAGAAAGTGACGGAGCTTACCCTTGGCTTGCTAAAAAACTTCTCGCCTCAGTTGACAGTGATAAAGTATCAAAGGATTTTGATCAAAATCTGTATGATGTATTACGAAAGGGGGGTGTACCATTTCAAATCAATCACCTCCTGCCAAGAAAATCCCTCGAAAAAGAAATACGACAAGCTCTTCAAGTGGTATCGAAAGAGAAAAGAGGATGGGTAGTAATTCATGGCATGATGGGATCGGGAAAATCCGTCCTTGCTGCAGAGGCCTTACGGTACGAGATTCTTCTCTCAGAGTGCTTTTCTAATGGAGTTTGGTGGATTCCTGTGGGTAATATAGACTCAGCGGGACTTCTTGTTAAAATGCAAATGCTCTATGAAAACCTAGATGAAGAGTGTCATCCTGTACCTGAGAGTATAGAAAAGGTGACCACTAAGTTGAAAAATCTTCTTCTGAAGTCTTGCTACGAAAAAATCCTGTTCATTTTAGATGACGTTTGGAATTCCAGCGTTTTACAAGCATTTGATGTGGGATGTCCAGTATTGGTTACGACTAGAAATAATAATATTCTGTCCTCAATTAATTCTGGACAGAAGATTTTTATTAAGGTTGATGAAGGTCTTTCTGTTGATGAAAGCAAACACTTGTTAGCCATGTGGGTTAATGCTGACGTAAACAGTTTACCGTCTTCTGTGGACAGAATCTGTGAAAAATGCAAAGGTAAGGGATAAGTATTTTTGTTTCAAACACAAGTTAACATTTTTACCAAGAGTATCAGGTTTAGAAAATTGTTGTTAATAGTGTGTGTTGTCTTGGATACGTTATATTAGTATATGTTGTCATTGGTATTTTATATTAGTGTATGTTGTCATGCATATATAATATTAGTGTGTGTTGTCATGGGTATGTTATATTAGCCTGTGTTGTCGTGGATATGTTATATTAGTATGTGTTGTCGTGGATATGTTATATTAGTGTGTGTTGTCGTGGATAAGTTATATTAGTGTGTGTTGTCATTGGTGTGTTATTTTAGTATGTGGTGTCATGGATATATTATATTAGTGTGTGTTGTCATGGATATGTTATATTAGTGTGTGTTGTCATGGGTATGTTATATTAGCAAGTGTTGTCATGGGTATGTTATATTAAGGTGTGTTGTCATGAATATGTTATAATAGTGTGTGTTGTTTTGGATATATTACATTAACATTTGTTGTCATGGGTATATTATATTAGCGTGTGTCGTCATGGACATGTTATATTAACGTGTTGCCATTGGATATGTTATATTAGCATCTTTTGGCATGGATGTTGTATCATTGTTGTTTATTGATCAGCTATAAGTCAGCTGTAAATGTTAGTAACATGCTTTTGTTGAATATAATTCTGTGAAATATGTGTCTTTATGAAACTTAGTTGAAAGGACGGCAAGTGCCTGTTGTAGAAACACTAGTGTAGAGGACATTGTTTCGAAAGTTTTCCTGAACACGAAAGGTGGAAGAGTTTCGAAGCATCGCCCTCTACACTAGTGTTTCTACAACAGGTAGTTGCCATCCATTCAACTAAATTTCATCATGAATACTTTGCCTAAACAATCTATCAAAGCATATGTGTCTTTATTTGCTTTAAATAGGTTGATAGTTCCAAGCCAATATTTAATTGAGTTAAAGTACTAACACTACAAGCCTTGGACTCTTGAAAATTTCAGGATTTTTCTCTTAATTCAGTTTGGATTTATTGTTTTCATAGTTTATACATTCAAGTTTATTATCTTAGGTTGTCCTTTAGTGTTGGTGATGGTCGGCAGTATGATGGCTAAGTATGGGAACAAGGAAAGGAGATGGGAACATTATCGACAGTGTTTGGAAGCCAGAAACTTTGACCGTATTCAGGATAACTCGGGCGAATCAAAGAAAACGTTGTATGATATCATTGAACTGTGTTTGTCTAACACGATGTCTCCAGAGGAACGTACTTATTACAGTGATTTTGCTTTATTCATTGATGATGTAATGATCCCCAATAAGGTTAGATTCCATATTTTAGTTACCTTTCCTGGAAATTTAAAAGTTTATATTTTGTGTTCTTTTTTTTTTTTTGATGTGTTAAAATTTATTCACCCGAAGCTTGTTATTTTCAAAATAATGCGTGATATTTTTTTTTGTTTTTCAAATTTTAGGTTTTGGAAATTCTGTGGGACAAAGACGAGTTCGAAGTGGAAGACATAATGTACAAGATCTGCAATAAGTCCCTAGCTCGTATGGATGAAGATAAAGAAGGTGATAGTTATGTTTACAGCATTCATGACCTTCACCTTGACTATCTCAAGAATGCTTGTAAAGACTTGAAAGTATGTTTAAAGCAGTTTGTGTGTTATGTTATATAGTCTAAGAGTCGTTGTAATAAGCCAGATGTTAGGCCTATGGGACAATAATATGAAAATTTAGGGTGTAACAGAAAATTTCAGTAAAGTGCTTGATTCAGGAATGAATTTCTTAACAAAAATAAGTCAACTTTACAAGTAACGAGGTTACTATATTAGGCTCTACAAACTTATAACTATACGCCCAAACTATGTAGTAAAAGTAGGCCTCAAACATCTAGATTGGCTATACCCTATAAGTAGTTAATCACATGACCACTACTGAGCTAACTTCAACTACACTTAGTTACCAGGAGTTTTGTTAAAAGCACGAAATAGTTGCTAACATTGTAATAATATACTTATGTTAATTTATGTTCACTAAAGCTTATGAACATGAGACGTTTAACAGTGTCTGTAATGTTCTAGATGTTGTACCTATTATAAACATCTGTCACCAATTGCTGTTCCTGTAAACTGAAATTAAGTGGGTAACATGTGTATGTTTTCTTATAGCAAAGCCACATTGGACTATCTGCTGTGTCCAACGATGGGAATCGAACCCCGAATTTTAGCATTGCAAATCCATAGACTTACCGCTACCCCACCGGCGGACAAGTGGATAACACAAAATTTCTGAAAGATATTTTTAATCCACAGGTCCAACCGTAGCTCAGAAGTAAGGATCCAAACACCCTTCCAAGTTTTAATTGTTTTTGAAATCCATCAGATAACCCTCAGTTATACGAACTGTTGGAGCTCTAGGAATTACATTGATTAATGTTCTAACCATTGAAATCTTGTGAATTCAACAAGTACATATAGATATAGATATACTAAAACTGCTTCCTTTCACTTGGCAGCTCATAAAGTAAGGATATATATATGCGTAATATCTTTCTTCAATAATGATATTTAATTATCTTGTGTGTATCGTTAGTACATATTGATAAAATGAAAAGCACAAAAAAGTAGTTTGAAAGAGGTCAGAAACTCCATAACTAATTAACACATTTGGATAATACGTCTCCCAGTGGGCCAGTGGTAAGTCTGCAAACTTACAGTGCTAAAATCTGGGATTCTATTCCCCACACAGGACAGAGTGCAGATAGCCCATTTTGTAGCTTTATGCTTTAAAAAACATTTTAGATAAATAGGGCTGGAATTTCAATTTCTAGATTTTATTTACACTACCTTACCACTCCAGGTCTGTTTTTTTTATGTTTATATTGTATATAATTACATAACTTTGAAAATATCTTTCTTTTAAGGCATTACATACAAAACTGATCAACAAGTATCTGAAAAAGTGTGAAGCAAATGGCATGAACATTCGCAACTATGGCCTACTTCCTTCAGACGGGTACATCCATCAGTATATTGGTTATCACATTTACAAGGCTGAGATGTTTCACCTCTTCCCTGATATATTCTTGAATCTACGATTCGTTCAGAAAAAACTACACATCTGTGGACCAAGTGTCCTGTTAAACGATTATGTTTTGTATGGAATGTATTTTAATACTTCAGAGGTGAGTACTTCTCTCTCTAGAAAAATCTGAATCTGTAGTCCTGATTCAAACATGTATACCTGTGCTGAAACATTTATTTAACATTCTTCTTCTTCAAGTAGATCATCAAAATATCAAGGCATTTTGAAATCAGGAAATTAATAATCAAATTGTTAGGATGTATATAAAGCTTGTTTTTAATAATAGTGCTCCAACAGATCAAGAATAATTATTTTCAGGTACAGTAACTAGTTGTTAAAATTAGGGATGCATGGGTAGTAAAATTTGTGGCGATTACTGGGTCCGGGTACCCGGCCACTAAGCTTCATCCTGGGGCCAGGTGTCAACTGGGACTGGGTTCTCCCCTCGCTCCTCCCCCCAAAAAAAACATACACAGAAATTAGAAACAAAAACATTTAACCAAAACAAAAACAAAATTGACGTTTATTACATTTAACCAAATAACCAACAACACAACATTCAAGTTTTTCTTTCATTGCCTAGCCCTAACTTCTCAAACCCTAACCCCCGTTGTTCTCAAAACCTCCACCTTCCCCAGAAACCCACTTCTTAAGCCATGCCTGTTATTAACTCCTCTTGTTCTTTGAATCCCCGACTTTCAGCAAGCGGTTAGTCTTTGGTGCTCAGAACACGTTTTTTTAACTAAACCAATTATTGACTGTAACTTCCAGTTAGTTACCACAAAGATTAGGGCTTAGATGCCATATTCAATTACCCAGATTCGGCTGTTTGTAACTTCAACACTCGGCCCCTGTGACGAGTATTACCAGGTAGCCCAATACCAGACTGGGGCCGAATATCTGGCTGGGTACCCGTGCATCCCTAATTAAAATAGGTAACCTGTAGAGGAATATCATCAAAGTTGGAGTTGAATGACATCTTTGTATTTGACCAGTCCTTGTGTTGTTCAGGACAATTTGCTTTAAAGGTGTTTTCATGAATTGCATTTGTATTGGAAGTTGTAGATGATGGTTTGAGCTGCCAGTGCAGATCGTCACAAGGAAAGTTGTTCAACCAAAACACATTTCAAAATAGTGTTGAATTTCATCCTTGTTTTTAAACATAATTCATGGTTTACAGGAGAGTTGATGAATCAAAACACACTTCAAAATAAGTGATGAATTTCATCCTTGTTTTTTATACCATTATTCGTGGTTTACAGGAGTGTTGAGTTGATGAATCAAAACACATTTCAAAATAGTGTTGAATTTCATCCTTGTTTTTAAACATAATTCATGGTTTACAGGAGTGTTAAGTTGATGAATCAAAACACATTTCAGAATAAGTGTTGAATTTCATTCTTGTTTATGACCATTATTAATGTTAAACATGGTAGCTGTAGAATCAAAACATTCATGAAAGTATATGTTGGATGTTATCCTCATGTCTGACCATCACTCGTGTTACTGAGATGATGAATTAAATTAGGTGTTGAGTTGCTTGTAGTTTAGCATTACTCATGTTATTCGATCAAAACAGTTTATTAAATTAAATCATATTTTCATGTTACTACATTGAATTCAAAGAATATTTACAAAAGTAGAATAAGACTTAGAAAATACAGAACTTCTTAAAAGAGAAATATTTTTTCGACGAGGATTTTACTTGCTCTGAGTGTTGCTGTTAATGAAAAACAATCTGTCAGCTTACAGTACATATAGAGAAACTTTAAATCTTTGAACTATTTTTGAAATAACCTGTATGTGATTAATTATGTGAGTGTATGAAATTTAAAGATTTGTATCAATTTGTAATCATTGATTTTGGTACTTAAGATAAATTTTTTATATCATTTCCATAGTTCTTAAAGGGTTTAATACAACTGAACTTTTTTTAAATAGCTATGAAAAATTAATTATAAATTTCTGTTAGATTTTAAACAAGGTCTCAGGAAACTTATGACCATGAAATACAACATACCAGATAAGTTAGAACTTAGTGAATTATAATTTTTATATACAGTACTAAAATATTCTTATGATGCTTTTTTCTGTGTCCACCTGTAGGCTGTGAAGGAGAAACAAGACTTGGAAAAGTTTATTCAATGTAATGCACACCATCTCTGTGATAGTACTAAAGACTTTATTCAACTAGCACTGTGCCAACCCCAAGAATCAACTGTTTATAAAAAAGCTAGAGTATTTGCTGAGAAAAGTGGGAAAAACATGTACTTCAACTGGTGGTAAATATTTTGAGAACTTTACTCAATTATAGTTCATTATAAACTTGTATAAAATTGGAATTTTAGAATGCACAGTGCTGCATTAAACACCACTTCGTTTAGATGTCGGCTTCGCATATCTTTGCCCCCCAGTGGCACAGCGGTATGTCTGCGGACATACAACGCTAGAATCCTGGTTTCGATACCCGTGGTGGGCAGAGCACAGATAGCCCATTGTGTAGCTTTGTGCTTAATTACAAACAAACGTATCTTTACTCAGTTGAGCCTCCATTTGTGACATAAAGGGGTTTTCAAAGATAAATGGTTGCCATACTCAAGTCGTTCATCTGGGACGTTTGTTTTAAAATGGAGACAATGATTCAGAATCCATTACTGATTACTTTTATTGGATTCCGCAGTCTTTAACACTCAAGGTTTGTACTGAAATGCTAATAAGGTTTGTCTCAAATGAGACCCACACTAAATGGTGCTTAAAAACAAAACTGGCAAATGATCCATTTTAGAATAGCAAATTGGATGAAACTTAATGTATTGCCAGAAAACTTTTAAACACTTCTCTGTTAATGGAATCATGCTTTGATGGTTGTGATGTTAAATGATGTGAGGGTTGAATTCATAATGACGTTTTTTATATATATCAATCTGACCTTAATTCATTTGTCACGATAAGAAAACAAAAGTCATGCATGTTTCGTTACTAATAGCTGTGGGTTTTGTGTGGTCTTGTGTATTGTGAAATAGTTTTTCTAAATCTATTATTAAGTTTATTAACTACTAGCTGGAGTACCCATCCCTGGATGGAAGTTATGTAAATTCATGATTAACGAATAAGTTATCTTAGGACATGAAAAACTGCTTCCCTTATATGTAATTGTAAAAAAATGGCCATAAAAATAGCAAAACACAAAATGTGAAACCGTAAACTTGTATGTATCTCTGCATGAACCCAACAAACTTTCATGCCAAATTTGGTGAAGATCCATCAACAGGGGGCAAGATAGTGGTAAAAAATGCCCATAAAAACCACAAAACTCAAAACTGAAAATTGGTATGTATCTCCCCATGGACCCACTGAACCTCCATACTAATTTTGGTGAAGATCCATCGACACCCTGCAAAGTAGTTACATGGACATACAACAGACAGTACTAGTATATTTACATAGAAGTAGTTACATGTACATACAACAGACAGTAATATTATATTTACATAGAAGTAGTTACATGTACATACAACAGACAATACT